TTTTTTTTTTTTTTTGGTACTGGGGATCAAACTCGAGACCTTGTACTTGCAAGGCAGACAGTGGAACTATTCAGCTAAATCCCTGGCCCAAGAAATATTTTTGAGTTATGAGAAGATACTCTGAAAAAAGAGAAAATACTTCATCTTTTTTTTCTTACAATTATATGTATGAGGTCCCATTTTTTTTCAATTTTCTTTTGAGATAGGGTTTCATTGTATAGTCAGTGCTAGCTGCAAACTTGCTGTGTAGCCCAGGCTGCCCTCTAACTTTGAATTTTTTTCCTGTCTCAGCCTTTTTAGGCAGGGAGCAGGTTATGTGCTGAGATTACAGGTATGTGTACCACACTTGGCTTAACCTTACTTTGAAACAATTTAGAAAAAAGATTTTTCTTTGTATAAGATAAGTAAAGTTACAGATTTCTATAGAGCCATCTAACTTTAAAAATAATGCAAAGTATTAGTGCCAGAACAAAAATTACCTCTAGTTTTAACTGTGATCGGTCATATTTGTACCTAATAATTTTACTTTTCGTTTACCGTTTTTAGAACTTTTTGAAAATGAGCATGTGCGTATTGGGCAAAAAGGTAAGCTTTTAGTTCTATTTAATATCTCTGAAAAATGAGAAAGTTCTCCATAAATGTCTCCATGATTGAAATTTAATGTCTGGGAATCTAAAGAGGAATAATATTTAACTATGTGGATAATCTCATGGGACTCTTTGGTTAGAAGTAATACTCATCATTGTAGTTTTATCAGTGGATATCAGGTAAAGAGATACACAGGTGGTTCCCTGAAAAGGAAACGCAGACACATTCTTCAGCAGGAGAGGTTAAAACAGTCAGCAGTGGAATTCCATTCTACATTCAACGAGGCAGGTTTTCTCTGTGACGCACCCACAAACCTCTCCATAGCCTTAAGGAGAGAATGTCTCGGCACCAGGAGAGAATGTAACTATAACCGTTCACGCTGACTGTTCACATAATAAGAATTGACTGATGGCAGCTCTCCGTATCTTGGGGAATAATTTTTCCCCATCTTTCGAAGATTCCTTTTCTCTTTCTTCCCCCCACAAATCTTGTTTTGTCTTTGAACTATGAAGTGCTATAAGTCTTTCTGTCACAGTGAACCTTCTGTGACATTTATATTGTTGTGTACCAAACTCCCTAGTTCAACTCGTCAAGATTGTATTCGTTGATATAGTTTCATTTGTAGGATTTGTTACTATAATTAAACACAGTTTCAAATTAAAGGATATGTCTCATTTCTTTTTTATTTTATATGATCCCTTTATTTTTTCTACTGATGTCATATTTATTTAGTATGAGATACTCTTCCCAATTTCAGAGGAAAGAGAAGACTATAGTAGTGTTAGTTAATGTCTTCTGTTTTATTTTGTGGACCTTTATTTCCAGACTGAATAGCTGATATTTTCATTAAAGGAATTAAAAATGAAAATGAAGGCAAAAATGTATTAATTTTATGAACTTGACTGCTTCAAATATATATGTGTGTGTGTGTGTGTGTGTGTGTGTGTGTGTGTGTATTTTGTTTGTTTGTTTGTTTTTTGTTTGTTCATTTTTTGTTTTTTGAGACAGGGTCTCACTATGTAGTTGAAACTGACCTGGAACTCACTATGTAGCCCAGGCTGGTCTTGAATTCACAGCGATCCTCCTGCCTCAGCCTCCCAAGTGCTGGGATTACAGGCGTGCGCCACCATGCCGGGCTCTGCTTCAAATAATTTTGACCTTTGTAAAAGTTTGTTAGATCTTTATTTTCACTTCATTAAAAATCCCTTTTGTCTACTGATTTTTTTTAGTATAACAAAGCAGTCTTCCATTAGATATTTTTTATTTAGATATTAGAAGTCTTAGTTGTGATGTTTCTCATACTATTTTACTTCCAATACTAACACATTCAGACTTAGTAGAAAATGTAAGAAATTTAAGGGTTCTATAGATGTAACCACTTGATGGTAGAATAAAAATTTTCTGTAGCACTATTTGTTTCAGATCCATGGAGTTAAAGCAAAGTGATCTTAAGGTACATTAAGAGGAAGTAAAAATAACCAAAATGTGTTGTGTATATATACCAGTTATCAAGATGAATGTAATTATTATGTATTGCATACATATACTAATAAAAAAATTTTATGAGTTTGGCTGGATATGGTGACACATGCCTGTTACCCCAGCTATTCAGGAGGCTGAGGAAGGAAGATTGTAAGTTCCAGTCCAACCTGGTATTTAGACAGACCCTGCCTCAAAATTCAAAATAAAAATAAAAAGGGATGTGGACGCCCTGGGTTTTATCCCCAGTAAAACCAAAAACAAACAAACACACAAACAAACAAAAACATTTACAGGCTGGTAGCACCTGGAGAGGTTTAAGGCTTGAAACATTTAAGATTGTGGATAGAAACATATCAAAATCCAGAGAACAAAAGAAGAAAAGGATAGGATATAATTATGTCAGAGTAGGTGTTGGCTTCTCGAGAGGTTTTTTATTAAATATTTCCATGATATTTCCTGCATTATGAATTTTCTAATGAGATTTTAATATATTTTTGACAGTTCTAGCAGAACAGGACAGTGCTGCTGCTCAGCAGTATATCAGACAAGGAAGTCCTACGGCACTGAGAGCTGAGCTGTGGGCTCTCATTTTAAATATTTCCAGTCAACCAGAGGTAAGAAGGAAAAGGAATGGGTCAAGCTTGATTTATTAATGCTTATTGTTCAAAGATCAGTTCTTTCACTATTTATTCTTCTTTTTATTTTCAAAATAATTGTAGTTTTGGATTCTACAATTTACCATATAATTTAATCAGCACACTTAACGTAGAAGTTTTTGTTACTCATAATCAAATAGTGTGTATATAACAAAACAGTAAGCAAAATTTTGAGAAGAGAAGATGATTTAGATCAGCGAAGATGTGTGATAGAATTAGAATGTTAAAATAGGGACAGGGATTTAGCTCAGCGGTGCCAGTGCCTTTTTGGCAAGCACAAAGTCCTAAATTCAATCCCTGGTACAGGGAATAAAAGAAAAAAGAAAAAAAAGAAAGGCAACTCAGTAAAGTAAATGAATTTGTTGTTCTTACAGTTACATTTGAAATATACCATATTTGCATGGTTCTAAAATTTGACAGATTATTTTAAAATATTATTTTCCAAGTATAAGAATATTTTGTTTTAAGCACGGCGTGGTGGCGCATGCCTGTAATCCCAGCACTCGGGAGGCTGAGGCAGGAGGATCATGTGAGTCTGAGACCAGCCAGGGCTACATAGTGAGTTCCAGGTCAATCTCAAATACATAGTGAGACCCTGTCTCAAAAAACAAAACAAAACATCAAAAAAAAAGAATATTTTGTTTAGGAAATATAATAAATATGAAGTGTAAATCCCTAAGAGGCAAGTAATAGATTTAATAAAGAAAAATTATACAGAACATTAATCTTTGATTATACTGAATACTGAAGAATACTGAAGTATTCTTTTTGGAATAAGTATAAATCTAGCATAAGTGCTTTAGTCACAGAAATCATCTATTTAAAGGTTTTAATGGATATCACCCTAATTGTTCCCCAGCCTGTGATTAAAAATATGGATTTTAGAATCATATGAGCCAGGTTTCAATTCCTAGCTCTCTCAACTAACTAAAAATATATCACTGAACAAGTTGCTTAAATTTCTTGAAACTGTTAATCCATGCTTAAATAAGGTAGGAATATTTATGTCATAAAATTATTATGAAACGTATATGTAATAATTTCTAAGAATTGTTTGCTTATTTGTTTGATTGGTTGGTTTTTTGAGGGTCTCACTATGTAGTTGAGACTGACCTGGAACTTGCTGTGTAGCCCAGGCTGGTCTCGAACTCACAACGATCCTCCTGCCTTAGCCTTGAGTGTCACCATGCCCAGCTCTGAGAATTTTTTTTTAACATGGAGCTTGTACATAAATGGGCACCACTAATGTTAGTAATCATAATAATTACATGTTACATATAATTGTTATAAATTAATTATAATTAACAATAATGCAGGTTTTTAAAAAGTTAAAAATTATTCATATGTATAATAAAACTACACATCTAACTATTGCAAATTATTCATACATGTATGATGTTTTAAATCTCCCTTTAAATAGCACTATAAAAATCACTTTCCTTTTGAAAGAATAAAGCTTGTGATTTCAGTGCAGTTTTACACAAAATGATATTGCTACTCCTTAAGATATTACTTTAAAGTTAACCTTTAACAAAATAAGTTTTAATGTAAGCTGAGATTTTTGTGTGTGTATGAGTGTATCAATATTTGTAGAAAGTATAACTTTTCTGGATCTTGCTGTTTATAACCTCCAAACTTTTCAGGAGTTAGATTAACAAATTCTGTCTCTTGAAAAGGAATTACTGACTCAAGTACAAATTAAGCATGTTTCCAGAAACATCATCCTAGTAATCCCAGATGATTATTTATTATGATGCTCAAAGATGGTTTTTACACTTGAATTTCAGAGCTAATTGCCACTTGAGAAAAATTTTTTGTCAAAAATGCTTGAATAGAACTTTTGCTCAATTAATTTTTAATCGCTTAAACTGCACAAGTAACTGAGAAGCTAGAGACATGAGCAGTATTTCACATTACATCCCCATTAAACCTATTATTTCTCTTTTTTCCTTTCCTTTTCTTTTTTAGTTTTCCAGTACTTAAGATTGAATCCAGTGCCTCCACCACTAAGCTACATTCTCAGCCCTTAAGTTAGAGTTCTTGATGGTCTGTCTCTTCTCATTCAGATATTCTTTGGTGAATCTCATCAGCTCCCATATTGTCACTTACCAATTACCTAAAGTTAATAGATCTCAGATTTCTTTCTTGAGCTTCAGATGCAACTGCCTCATGGACTAATAATCACTTTTATTTCTTACAAGTACCTCAAATTTAAAATGTCTAAATTCTTTTCCTATGGCCTAAGAATTGTCTGTTTTGGAGAAAGTTTCATAAGCTGCTGAAAATGATATTTATTCTGCAGTTGTTGAGTGAAAAACTCTGTAGATTTCTGTTAAGTCCATTTGATCTGTAGCGTAGCATATATATAGTGCTATGTGACTGTGTAGTTTTTTGCTTAAACCTTATTATTTTAAGATGCTTTTAGTTATTAGAAAAGCTATATAATCTTCCTAGGTATTTCTATAAGCTCTGAGCCAAGTTTCTTGAGATAAAATTTTACTAGCTTTGTGACCTTGGTCAGGATGTTAGTTTTCTCACTGGATCTTACTTAGTTTAGCTTCTCAAATGTTCATGTAAATAGTAATCAATGATCTGATTTATTTTGTTGATATGGGAGTGAATTCATTGATGTATAGTAGGTAAAATAGTACCTGGAAGTTAGTAACTACTTCAAAAATACAGTATTTGTCATTAAAGTTAAACTATAAGCACTTTAGCAAATATTGATTGAATACCTACCAGGTGCCACATGTTATTTTAAATGGCATAGGCATATTCATTGAGCATCTAATATTGGTCAGCCATGGGGATATAGTAGTGAATGAAATAGAGGTCCTACGCTTTTATTATTTACAATAATATTAATGATTATTTCTTATTAAAGTCTGAAGCTGACTTTATATATTGATATTTAATTTTTTTGTTTTACTTTTAAATTTAGGATATTTTATATTATGAGCAGCTTAAGGCCAATGTGATACAACATGACCTTTTGGTGGACAGTCTAATTTATAAAGTAAGTAGAACTATGCATATTTTTTCCATTTCATCGCTATCACTTAAAATTGAGAGTTTTCAATATGCAGGGCCTGCATTATGTACAGTAATACACATTAAATTTGAAAAGTAATGTTAAGTAATCATTATAACTATAAAGTTAAGGTTGGCGTTCAAAGTCTGTAGCTTGCATTCATTGTTATCTTCTTTTCCTATGAAAGTAAATCATGATGCTTTCCTGGACTTCTATTTTTTCATTAAGAGAATAAGCATTTCTCAAACAGCCTCACAATTCATAGGGAGAGTAAAAAATTATTTTACATAGTCTTAGGTCAGGAAGTGAGGGTAGTTATAAAGGAAAGAGCTGATATTCTCCTGAGAAGTCAATGAACTAGCCTTTAACAGATGAGTTCATGAAGCAGAAAATCAATGTCACTACCCTCCCAGAAACTGGTGGTAACTTGCAAGTGAATAAACTGTAAAGGCATAGCAGATAATTGGTATTTTGGAGGAATAGAAATTATATAGATTTGAACAGTGAAGGTGAGCCAAATTGTTATGGTTACTTCTAGGTGTACGATTATATCACTCTTCTTTTCAAACTGTAAGACAGCTAATGATTAGGTTGAAAAAATAAAATTGAAATAAATAAAAATTATTAGTGAATACTTTAAAAAGTGTGAAAATTTTGAAATCAATGTGTCACATATATTAAATAAATATATAGCACTGATAAGATCTAATTGAGAAGTTTTTAATCTTAAATAAAATAATTCATTGCAATATTGTTTCTAAATATTTGATGTATTCTTTAGGACTACAAATAGATTCATTTAGGTTCTTTTCAGTACACTTTCTTTTTAATTATAGGATGTGAAGTTGACAGCAAGCAATGATGATTATTATTTTGTATTTGAAGATTATTTATATCAGGTAAGCTTAGAAATTAAAGTATAAAATTTTTTAGATTCTCTAAATCATGATACTTTAGAAAACTTCTGGGCCGGGGATTTAGCTTATTGGTTCCGCCGCCTGCCTTGCAGGTACAAGGTCCCAAATTCAATCCCGGGTACCAAAAAAAAAAAAAAGAAAAGAAAAGAAAACTTCTCTATTGTTAACTAAATCTTTCTGAAATTCAAGCCACATTTATCAGATTAAATGTTCTATAAGGTAAGGTTAAATATTATTCTCACTGCAGGATTAGGTGGGAGAATAAAAGTTCCACTATGAACTTTAGGACTGTTCCTTTTAGGTATATATGGTACAAACAGAAAGTATTAGCAGGTGAGTTTTCTACTTTTGTTGTTGGCACAGGTTCTTAAACTGGATATCAAGTTCATATTTGAGCCATCTGAAAATATTTTGAGAAAGTACTTTACATGACAATTTTTTGTTAAAATACCAAATAAACAATTTAATGTTTTGAAATTAGTTATGAGCATTATGATTATTATTTGATCATTTTATATGCAGATATGGTAGACACATAGCTCCCTTCCTAGGTCTTTTTCACATCTAAAATAAAAGCATTTATCATAAATATAAAGTGTATAATTTATATAGAATCTCTTAGATGATTTTTAAATATTATATATTTATTTTAATAATAATTAATTTTTTTTTTTTCAAGTGAATATTTTAATAATAATTAATAATTTGATTTTCAAGTGAATGTCAGTATAAATTTCATGAAGGAAATATCCAGATACTATATGACAATTTCTGCTTTATTAAATAAATGTAAATCAGGACCAGCTGTTTGGCTGAGCAGGTTTTTATTTGGTAATGATATTGACTTTGTACATATGTTTAGAAGAGTAAACTACAATAAGATTGTCTCGCAAAGTCCACATAAGCCTGCATGATCTTGCCCATCTCTCCAGTCTCATTACTCACTTCTCTGCTCTGACCCTTAAGCTATTCCAACCACTCTGATGTATTGCTCTCCACAATCACTATGTTCCTTTCTTCCTCAGGAGCCTAAGATCTGTAGTCCCCTTTATATGAAAGACTGTTATCCTTCTCTCTTTACCCAGTAAACTGCCATTTTTCCTTGAACTGTTAGCTAAGTACCATTTACTGTATGTATTCATATTCACTTCCTTGACCAACCTGTACTTCTCAGCACAAACACATACAACAAGCCTAGCCATCTGATGTGTGATTTTAAAATGCTATGTCATACTTTTTGCACTTTTTGTTTGTATTACTTATTATGCATTATTTGATTATTCATAATTGTTTTTCATAACTTTATGACAGTTGTGGTACTCACTGTTAATTCCAATGCCTAGCACTTTATAGATACTGAATAAAAAATTGTTTTAATGTCATTGAAAATAAGTACTATAGTAGTGTGCTTTAATTTTTATTTCCTATTTCTATCAATATTTTACTTCAGATTCTATTATTTTTAGATTTTACATAATTTCTTCAGTCCTCCATGACTGTTACTGCTTTTACTATTTTGGAAGCGACACTAACTACTCTTTGAGGTGTGACTGAAAAATGGTAAATGTTTAAATGTATTACAGTAATAAACACATTGCCATAATTCCCCTCAAAATACTGCCACTACCTTCAAACATACTTGTCTCGTCAGTCTTGGCACATTTTGAAGCAGTTCTAGAAATTCTCTTTTGTAAATAACTTCAGTTGCACTATTGTGATTGCCTCAGTGTCCTGAATCTATTAAAAGTATTTACCTTCCATGGTCATTTTGACTTTGGGGAAGAGCCAAAAGTTGCATAGTACTAGGTAGAGTGAACAAAGTGAACGAGTACACACTGTAATGGTTTTATGAGCCTGACTTTTTATTGGATGGCAGTATTTTTTAATCACACCCTTCAAAGAGACTTTCTAAAGTGTGCAAAACAGAGTTGTTAGCATAGGAAGTATTATACAATATATTTCTAGAACTTAATTGTCTTGCATGACTGAAATGTTACGCCAATTGAGTAGCAACTCCAGCTACCCTCCCTTCCAGCCCTGGCGACCAGCATTCTAATCTCTGCTCCTTCTTGTTCAGCTATTTTAGATACTCATATAAGTGCTTATTGCAGTTAACATAATGTCCTTCAGGTTCATTCATGTTGTCTCATATGGTGATTTCCTTTTTCTTAAAGGTTGAATAATATTCTGTTATATGTATCTATTTTTTATTTTTAAATTAATTTTATTGGTACATTTTAGACATACATAATGATCACATTAATCATAGGAAATTAGTACCACTACATGATATATCTTGATTCTTCTTTTTTCCACAAGCCCCTCCCCTCCCTTCAGCCCTTTATTTACAAAAACTTTGTTTCCATTTTTTTCTTCTATTTTATTTTCCCTTCCTTCCTCTTGCCACTCCCCCCTGCCCAGTTCCCCTTCTCATATGAACATTTTCTTCCTATTTCCTAATATGTGTTGCACATTTTGGACCTTATTTACCCTTTCGGTTTCTCACACCAGAGAAACAATGTGATATTTACACATGTGTGTCCAATTTATTTCACTTAAAAGTATGGTCTCAAGGTGCATCTATTTATCTAGAAATGTCTCAAGTTTATCCTTTTTATTGCAGTGTAGTACTCTATTGTGTTTTTTAAAAACCACATCTTCTTTATCCTTTCATATGTTGATGAGTATTTTGGCTATTTCCAAGATTTAGCTATTTTAAACTATGCTACTATAAGTGTAGGTGTGCATATATAGCTGTGGTATGATGCTTTTAATTCTTTTGGGAAGATACCAAAAAGGGGAATAGCTGGCTCAAATGGAACCTCTAGTTTTATTTTTTTGAGGAATCTCCACAAAGGTTTCCACAGTGGTTGCAGCAGTGTACACTCCCACCAACAGTGGAGAAGGGCTCTTTTTTCCCCACAGCACCATTGGCACTTGTTACAGGTTGATTTCTTTTTTTTTTAATTGAGTTTATTGGTACATTTTAGGTATACAGTGCAATTACATTTATTATTGGGATCTTGTACCTCTACATGACAGGTCTTGGTTCTCATTTTTTCCCCTTGTCCCTGCCCTCCCTTTACTCCCTCCTCCCCTCCCCCTTTACAAACACTTCATTTCTATTTTTTCATTTTCCCATATTTTTTTCTTTTCCCTTATTAGCTTTCCCCTACCCTTCCCACTTTCCCTACACCTTTAGCCCTTTTCTTCCTATTTCAATTATCTCATTAGGATCTTATGTACCATTATAGTTTTTCACACCAGAGAAACTATTCGGTATTTACACATGTGTGACTTATGTATTTCACTTAAGAGTATATCCTCAATATGTATCCATTTTCCTATGACTGGTTGATTTCTTGATGATAGCCATTGTTTCTGGAGTGAGATAGAATCTCAATGTTGTTTTAATTTGCATCTCTCAAATGACCAGTGATGTTGAACATTTTTTTCATATATTTGTTTATTTACCATTTCTACTTCTTCATCTGAGAAGTATCTATTCATTTTGAATGCCCATTTTTGGTTGGGTTTTTAAATTTGGGGATATGATTTTTTTCAAGTTTTTAAAAATGTATTCTATGTATTAGTTCTGTATCTGAAGAACATTTGGCAAATTTTTTCCCAATCTGTGGGCTGTCTCTTCACTCTGCTGCTGGTTTCTTTTGCTGTGCAAAAGCTTTTTAATAAGATAAGATTCAGTTGTTGATTCTTTGTAATATTCCCTGTGAGATCGGGGTTTTGTTCATAGTCTTTGCCTATACCTATGTCTTCAAGTGTTCTACCTATTCTATCTTCCCGCAGATTTAGTGTTTCTGTTTTAATATTTAGATTTTTAATCCATTTTGATTTAGTTTAGTGCATGGTGCTTTATTCTTCAGCATGTGGAAAGCCAGTTTTTCCAGCACTATTTATTAAAGAGGCTGTGTTTCTTCCAGTGAAGATGTTTTATTAAAGAGGCTGTGTTTCTTCCTTTTTTTTAATTGAGTTTATTGGTACATTTTAGGTATACAGTGCAATTACATTTATTATTGGGATCTTGTACCTCTACATGACAGGTCTTGGTTCTCATTTTTTCCCCTTGTCCCTGCCCTCCCTTTACTCCCTCCTCCCCTCCCCCTTTACAAACACTTCATTTCTATTTTTTCATTTTCCCATATTTTTTTCTTTTCCCTTATTAGCTTTCCCCTACCCTTCCCACTTTCCCTACACCTTTAGCCCTTTTCTTCCTATTTCAATTATCTCATTAGGATCTTATGTACCATTATAGTTTTTCACACCAGAGAAACTATTCGGTATTTACACATGTGTGACTTATGTATTTCACTTAAGAGTATATCCTCAATATGTATCCATTTTCCTATGACTGGTTGATTTCTTGATGATAGCCATTGTTTCTGGAGTGAGATAGAATCTCAATGTTGTTTTAATTTGCATCTCTCAAATGACCAGTGATGTTGAACATTTTTTTCATATATTTGTTTATTTACCATTTCTACTTCTTCATCTGAGAAGTATCTATTCATTTTGAATGCCCATTTTTGGTTGGGTTTTTAAATTTGGGGATATGATTTTTTTCAAGTTTTTAAAAATGTATTCTATGTATTAGTTCTGTATCTGAAGAACATTTGGCAAATTTTTTCCCAATCTGTGGGCTGTCTCTTCACTCTGCTGCTGGTTTCTTTTGCTGTGCAAAAGCTTTTTAATAAGATAAGATTCAGTTGTTGATTCTTTGTAATATTCCCTGTGAGATCGGGGTTTTGTTCATAGTCTTTGCCTATACCTATGTCTTCAAGTGTTCTACCTATTCTATCTTCCCGCAGATTTAGTGTTTCTGTTTTAATATTTAGATTTTTAATCCATTTTGATTTAGTTTAGTGCATGGTGCTTTATTCTTCAGCATGTGGAAAGCCAGTTTTTCCAGCACTATTTATTAAAGAGGCTGTGTTTCTTCCAGTGAAGATGTTTTATTAAAGAGG